TGCGTTAGCTTCTTGACAGTGATAATGTAATTGGAACTGTCAGACAAGAACACACAACGTATGGGGTAGTTAAGTGTGGAGAACTTGTATGCCTGATTCAGTTAAGTAACGTTCTAACTCAATATACTAACTCAAAATGACAACGCCTTGACTGCGCCACCAGCGTGACACACAAGTTCTCTATGCGTGCAGTGGTCAACATATCACCAATACAGCCTATATTTGCTTGCTGGAGGAAATTAAATTCGACAACCCGAATAACTGTCAGCTATCACTTTGTACGAATTTCGGGAAACTGAGGTGAGCCATGCTGAATTCGACTAAGCAGTGAGCTTGGGCTCAAATTGTCTAGCTGGTGAGTCAAAACAAATCTGTTCACCCCAATCATAGCAAAACCTGGCTGTTGGTATTTTGTTTGTCTTTTTTGACGCAGTGTCCATCCTGCTGGATATAGCCGTATATTTTAAGCGCAGAATAAGAATAAAGGCAGCAAAAAACCTATGTCTGTGAATGTAGGCTGTGTTTGTGGCTGTGATTAGTTCTGTAATACAAAATCTTGAAAATGTTATGAAAAATGGAATTTATTCGTGTAATTTCTTTTTAAAACATTACAATCGAACAAATTTTCTAACAGCCCACTTCACACAACACTCACCTACTTGGCGATTGAGAGCAGAAAGCTCGTAATAATAAAGTATTCAGTATGCACCAGTCGTATTTTGGCGCCTGTGAAGGGCATGACAGTGGGAATCCAAAATTAACGAGTTGTGAAAACTGCTTAGTGTAATCCGCCTAGATTTTCAGCGCAACAATACAAATTGTACAATAGCTACATTCTGCTCGCAGGTCTCAGATTTATTTCACGTTGGACTATATTTAGTGTTTTTAGTATGGGCCAAATTTTATATGCTTGCTGAATGATGCTGTGGTGCAAATGCATACATCGAGCTGCTTGTGGAGAAAGAAGTCCATGATTACACGCTTCAATTTTAAAAACACCGAGTAAAACGGAAAATTGTTGCTTCAGATATCAAAGTTTTCATGCCGCACATCTGGCAACATCAGTCACACTAAGCGAAATGTTCAATAGGGCATGCCGGTTTTCTGGTTACTAGTAGACTTTCGCGTGCTGCGACAATGTAACCTGGTTTTGGATGAATGCACGGCTACCACACACACCTAAATATATAGGATCGTTTAGTTTGCATTTTTTCAGCGAAATTTTAAACCGCAAAGCTCCTAATTGATCGGAAATGCTACGATAATTCCGACAAATTAAATGAGCCGCAAAACATGACAGCACTTGAATGCCTCAAAACACACGTTGACACTTTGGGCCTAACTTTGGATTGTTGGATTTCTCTTGATTTTACATCATTATTTACACCACTACCGTTTGGTTTGGGGCTCTAAGTATTGCATAAATTGCTTTAGACTCCAATAAAACAGGAAACGTTTGAGTATTGCAGAATGCTTTAATTCACCCTGATTTTCAGCGAAAGAAATTATCATGTGACGTCGATGAAACATCCGCTTTTTGGAACGTTATTTGTTGCAAATTCGAAAGGTCTGTCGGGAATCGCTGTTAGAGACGGGGTTTTGTTTACGATGTATAGTGGCGTACGCCCACAGATATTTAATGTCTGTTCGATCACGCCAAAAGTACTTTGGCACCTAAGTGTCAACTTGTCACTAGCCAGGTTGAAAAGCCCAGATGGTACAAAAACCTGCAGTAAACCAGGATTTGATTTGCTCTTGGAAACGCCTTCAAATTGTTGCAATGAAAATTACGACGAGATAGTTTCCTCCCTGCTTTGAATAGTAGCCATCACTAGCCGATTTCAAGACCGTGAGTCTTTCGATTTAAGTTATTTTTCATTCAGCACTTACACATGAAAAACAAGTCATTCAAGGCATATTTAATTATAGATTTTCGGATGTTGGAGAATTCGTGCCTTTAATAATGAGCGACAAACTTCTGTCTATTCATTTCGTTCTTCGGAACTAAATCGGCCCTCCAGCGCGTTTTCAAAATGTACTGTGACCTTGAATAGTCAAATTAAAGGGCCGTAAAGGTAACGGGGCTGCCAGTATTTTGCTTACTTTAAATAGGCAATAAAAACGAGTACAAAATAATTTACGGTAAGTTTTAAATTTGATAATAAAAACCAACTGTGACCTTAATTTCATATTTTGGCCTCTCATTAAAGTTCGTTTCAATTAGTCAAGAGTATGAATTTGCCCGCATTAACCTGAGGTTTATGTACAAATTTTATCTCAAAATCCTTAAAGCTCCAGAAAAAGTCTCGAAGTTTCGCGTTACGCACTCCTTATTCCAAATCACTTGACTACTGATCAGATGTTGCCCGTAGATTCACCTAATTCAGTATCTTGCAACCATGTTTTTTTTCACGTAGGTTCCTCCGGCACATGGACCACTAAATCAGCCTCTAACTGTATATAAAGTGACCTGCAGTGCCGAGATTTTCAGAAATCTAAGACGTGGAAACTCCCTGTGCGTTCTCTAAAATGTGGCTCAATAGTGATGCATTCTATGGGCGTCATGAGGGCCTAAAGCTCTCGTGTATATACAAAATGTCTCCGGTTATATACAGGCATACACGGTGCGCATTAATTTTTGCATTAATGAAATGTTGGTGAAGGAAACTGTCGAAGCTCAATAATCAGTAGCACAAACAACAACAAAACAAAAAATTTACCTTCTCAGATGCTACAAATCTGTCCGGAAAACTAACATTGCTAGTTTCGGCGGGTCATAAAACTGCTGCTGAACCTTCTGCCTTTAGTCGCATGAAGAAAAAAATTAAACTTTGGACAAACTCATTAAGAATCTAGTGATTGCACATTTACCGGGCAAATACAAATGTCTTCGAATATTTTTAACGCAAACTGATTACATTAATTTTTAGGCATAACAACAACGCCACCAGAAGGACATACATCATACACCATAAGATGATTAGTATTGCTGCAATTTGACCGCACCTTCCGAGAATATTTAACATATTTGTATCTATTTTAAATTAGAAATCGAAATATAAGCATATTTAGTGCATGTCTACCTTTCTAAAAATTTCCATAAATTATGTATGCAGAATAAGCCTGCAAATCCAATTTTGCTCCAGTAAATACAGCTGCTTACGACTAGACATAAGTGGACAACTGAAGCTTACTCATCAAGCAATATGAAAAGCAAACCCTGAATCAGGTCACTTTTAGTTAATTGCTCCGTAACTTGCGAATAAAAGTCCAAAAGTTAACCTTTTTTTTACAAAACGTGCAAGGACGTGCTACGAGTTCACGTTTCCAAAAATAAGTCTTTTACCGTCTGTGCTATATAATTAGTGTGGTTTTGGTATCAAAACTATGTTGTTTGCCCAGCGGGCAATTCGAAGATGCCCATTTGATAATTATGCTACACAGGCGTATATTTTGCATTCACTGAATTTGCCGCAGTGTTCGAGTCTTCACTGTTGCCTATGGCGCCCACAAACATTGACAAGCGAAACAGGTGTTGGTTGTTAATATACCTCTAAATTATTCAATGAATAAATCGACAGTGATTATTCATTGATAGTAAATGATGAATATAGTTTGAAAGAGATTCAACTCTACCACTTTCTGCTTTACTTTTAGGCCAGAAAAGGCATTTGCGCAAAGGCAGTTAAACAACTCAGCGCAGCTAGACCTACTGTGCTAGGAGTAACAAAGTGTCGATGCGAAAATAAAATAAAAATGCTCAACAGACCAATATGAGCCACTCACCTTTGTTGGTTGTTTCACTCGCTTTAGTTGTAAACCGCAACGTAGATGACGGTTCAACGTGTGTGGGGTATTAAAGGTGAACGGAATATACAAGCTTTTTCATGCAAAAATGTTAACACAATGCTCTATAAAAATGTGAAAAAGTAAAGAAAATGATTAACGCAACGTTTGTAAGAATTTTCAGTCGCCATTTTGACTCAGATAATTGTAGGGGAAATTTCTACTACATACAAGCCACATTATTTAACCGGTTTTTTCTATTTGCTGTAATGCACTCACAAACATTCCTGTAAAACCAATAAGCCTTCTATTATTCACGGCATACTTTTGCTATTTGCACGCAAGTCAATCGTACAAAAACATTAACTTGTTAATATGAGTTATCCAGTCTTTCACTATTCAAAGTTAAGGTTCGCCAAGAGAATTGCACTGTATAGATTCAACCAAAAGCCACCGGGAACACGTCATCTTTCCTTCTGACACGACTTAAATAAACACGAAATAGCCACTCATATGATAGCTAAAACTCTTTGACAGCCTGTTAACACCTTCGTCTTGAAACCTCAAGCTTTCCCGTTTGGGACAGTCTCTAAATGTCCATCAACCATATGTCCTACTTGCACACAAACTGCACAAAGTTTGCACTCATTTGCACACCAAGTGCGTGTAGTTGTTGACTTTTGTTAAATAGTAGACCAGGAAGAACACTCGGAAACTCAAACTTCACTCACACGAAGAGCCCTAAGAGCGAATGTCGGATGGTCTCAGCAAAATCACTTTCCTATGTGAATTCGCTCCGTTGTCTCAAATATCGCACCAAATGTAATATGAAGCGTCTTTTTGAGACACATCCGTTTGAAGAATACCACGAAGGAAATAATACTATGCGATTGAAGTCAGTATAACGTGAGAGTCTATTTGGTAAGCCGATCATCGTAGTTTTCAGTGGTCGCTTTTTTCCTGTAAACATATCGGCGTTCTATGTGGTATTGTCTTACCACGTGACATGAAAAGTAGAGGGTAACGCGATACTGAACAGAGATATTTATAATCTATTTTTATTAATATTTCAGAACCCACTGTAAACAGTGAATTCATTTGGCGTCTACCCTTTCTTCTGGAAAATTAGATGTAGGTGTGTCACAGAAATTAAGCTCAATTTTCCCTTCTAATTTGCAAGCGTATTTAAATTTTGAACAATCTACTTTCACAGATACAGTGATAAAGCAATGAACATATGTTCAACTGTTGTCTCCAATGATTATCAGTAAATAAAAGTGATCATATATTTTCTTGCGGCTAAAACACGAAGACAACCAAACTGGTGACCTTTAACTTATTTGTAACAAACAACGAATGATTGTTCGTTAAATTTGCTTTCAGTGAACGTATGCGATCAAATGGACTATGAAATAAAAATTATGAAGTATCGTCTTATTTTGCTGACAATTATTTGACTGTGTGGAATCAGCGCGTTGAACTATTGCATGCTACTATTCCGTACTAACTACTCATGCATATCATTAGTAGAATTCAATCATTGCGCATGTTATTAGAGTGCAACGGAAAGGTGGCCCAAAAATATGTATCTGATGGAAGCATTTGCTTAAGGTTTAAAGACGGATAATCAAGGTTGCATCATTTTCTGGCACCTGAGACTATCCTATTATTTGGACCACCGGCCAAAGTAGTTAAAATAAATAAAATTGCAAACTACACGTTGTTGTAGCAGCTTTAAATAATTGATTTAAGGAAGAAATCACAAGCGTTGAATAAGCCAAAGTCTAGATTATATGCACAGGCGAAGACTTAGTATTGTGATGCAGATTTAGGACAGAAAGCATAAACTAACAAAACGAGAATGGTTACTGTTCATCCTAATCAATAATGGCGCATGAATATCTGTTAGCAATCCTAATGAGATATAACGATCCTTCTCGACCTACCCGTGCACTGTAACCCTTAAATAACACATCCAGTTACACGGTCAGGTGTGGAAAGAAGCTTCAGACAGAAGCTGTGGGAACAGAGCGATTAGGCATAAATTGATAGAACACAGGTTTCGGTGACGGCGTATTGAACATAAAGATCCAGTTCTCTGTGGATTAATAAACTTATAGGACATAAGGGGATTTGATGGTACAAAAATAACTGATTTATAAACCGCGATAAGCTTTCAGTGAACGGACACTTTGAAAGTCCTCGACGTAAATATAAAAGATGAAACGTGGTTGAGAAGACCGTTGACAACAGCGGATGAAGCGGTACTCTGGTTTGTGCGTCGGCAAATTTCACTCAAGCATCGTTGCAGCCCTCTATTTATGAGACGCTCTAAGGTTTTTTAGACTAACGCAGTACACCGTATACAGAATTCTGAGAAGAAGCATCGCCTCTTGCAGTGCAATCTCAAGCAACTCGCTTATGCCAGTCTGGACAATATAATAATCGTCAGTACACAGAAAAATTACTTAGCAAATAAGGGCATGTATGCCGCAAAATTGAGTTCTTACTCAACTCGTGATTTGTGAAATGCTTGGCCTTGCAACCTGTCATCTACAGATAACCTCTGTAACAATCCTCACTACGTGATCGTGCCTCACAGACCTCGGTTTCTTTCGCACAGTTAAAGAGACAATTTCATTACCCATCGTTCGCATATAGATTGACAATATTGTAGTAGTGTGTTTTGGAATCGTTATGCTGGTGAATAAATGAACGCCACCTAAGAGTGGTGATGGTAATGCAAGTCAGTATTAAATTTAGATATGTTTATTTGTTCTCTGCAGCATACATCAATATGAACATCAAAAGCCTTGGTAAGCTGGGAAGCAGTAAATCACAAGGATTTATAATTTGATGCCTCTAACTTCAGGAACAAGCCATCTCGGTGTCACCATTGGAAATCTGCTGCATTCCGATAAGTTTTGGTACAGATGCCCAAGATTCTACTAATATTTAGTATTTGAAGCCATACGCATTAAAACTTTGACAGGATTCCCCAGAGATTTACGCAGTTACAATTTTTGACGATAGACATTTTTGATACTTTATTGTTCACCTTTTGACTTTATCCAATACATGTTTGAAACGCATATTGAACCCAATGGTGGGTTTTTTAAAATTTCGGGATCAGTTAAAGGTAATGGGGAAGGCATCGCAATGTCTGATTTTGCCACACATTCTGGATTTAGGTTACCCTTTAGCTGGCGTAAATTCCTCTGCTAATTTACCGAGGTTCGCATTCTGAAGGACGTGCCATTCAGAGGTTGAACTACTTTCTCAAACATTTTTGAAAATGGAGAACGAAAAACGTTGCCGAGCAGTGATGTACATTCCTATTTTGATAAAAAACCCGACCACACACCATGTTAGAAAAAAAGTGGAAATTTGTACATGCGTGACGTTTCATGTGCCTGAGTCAGGTGCCGATATTCTCTTGTTTCAAGTGCTTAAAGGTTTACGTTCCTGAGAAAGGTTGATCTGTTCAGCACATCCTCCATTCAGGAATGTTAGTTTTGCCTCTTGAATACCTCATTTCGGTTGTGAGTTGAGCGCGTTGGACAAAAACCGCACGAAATCTCGGAAAACGTCAGCTTTCCTCCTTGTGTTGCAAAAGTGGTAAATTTTTCATACCGTTGTAAACACGAAGCCAAAATCAAGCTCTGTTGCTCAAGTACTGTTTACATATGCCTAAAAACTAACAAAGCAAAGACTAAGGAATATCTTGAGCAACTTACCCAAAACTTGAACATTCAGTGTTTTTATAACAGCTGGTTCTGTGTTCCCGGTCCATGTGCAGGTTACTGTTGTTTGTCCAGCTTTCTGATAAGTTAGGTGGCCAAGAGGTGGTTGTACTTGGCTGGTAATTTGGTTAAGATAAATCAGCTCCGGATCTTCGGGCTCTGCACTTAAACTAATTTTTCCTTCTTCCGATGAAGGGGCTGGATTTTTAACCAAACACTTGATATTATCCTCACTGCCGACGAAGAGTTTACCACTTGGAGGCTCAAATGACAATTCGACGGTTCCAGCTGCCGAAACTAAAAAAGCATTGGAACGTTCATTTTAGACATTCGGTTTGAACTTTCATCATAACAAACATTCTGATTAACAAGGGTCACATTTGTGGCGTCCTTCGTTTTGCTTAAAATAACAGGCTTTGAGTGGATGGAAGAACCTTAGTGAATTGCCTCGGTAACCAAGTTGAAAAATACACACGTTTATGAAAATGACAAAATCGCAACTACTCCTAGGCAGCAGAAATAAACTGAGATCACTGTGTCACTTTTGGGTGCATTTTCCGCTGAATTACATAGAAAGCACTATTTTTATCTTATGTCCACCTTTTCTGGTAGCCCTAGTTTGGACTGCAATTCGAGTTCAGGCCCTCACATTACGTCATTGTCATCAATCGTTTAAGTCATCATTACCCCAATATTCTGTGCTGTGCAGAAGGATACATTTCCACAAGGCTGAATATTATGAATGTGGAAAATGCATCATATAAGTTACGGTGTGGACATTAAAACATTTCAGATTCCAAGGTGAAATGGTTAACTGACCAAAATACGACGCATTTACGTGTCGTCTTCACTCATAGGAACACGGAACATTGAGCTAACTTATACTGAAAACCCTTTTTTGGATGCATATTTACCAACACGACAGTCGACATCTTGTGGGACGACTGAAACGCAACGTTTGCTTTTGTTTACCAGCGTAATGTGTTGTGTCACAAACATTTCTCTGATCGAATATGAAACTTAATCGACTGCAGTATTAGTCATCCTCCTTGAAACTCATGGGACCAGATAATTTTTATCCAAACACATGTGCATTCTGATTAGCTAATCGCATATCAGCTGAACAAGAACTTCATTTACGTCAAGTGCATAAGCTACCAAATGACTATGCACCTGAGTTATCTGGTTGAATTTCTGCCTTTCTCTTAGCAATTGTTCCCCAGCTATTCTAATCAGCGTTGTAATGCTCCAGTGACCTCGTTGGTAGGCTTGCGGTGCAAACCTGAGATATATACAAAAACACAAGGTGAAGGAGGTTACACGGTTGCCCTTGCCTCCTACAACCTTTATGAAAGGCTATGATAAGTCAAACCATGTAGGTTTCCGGTTTCATCTTTGTTACACTGAATAGTAAGCAAAGCCAAGGAAATCCATGCGCAAATTTATTGTCTGTAGCACTTTTGCCCTCAGTTGTTCGGTAAACTTCCGACGTGACGTATTTAGCAGGTGTAGAGTTACGATTGAACTAAGTTTAGATGAACCGTTAGTCTGCGGTGTATAAGCACCACCAAAATCCACTGGGATTTTCTAAGTGATTGGTTCTGAGACCCACAGATTTTGGTTATTATTTATAATCTCGTAAGTTAATTAACTGAATTGGCCATCTACACAAGGATTCAAAGACAATAATCTCTAGAGCGATGGCAGTTCTAAAGCGGCTCGTACTTCCAATTCATTACGTTCTTAGCTATTGCAAACCTTGATGAAGCCACGCACAGAAACCTGAGACCAACTGGTCACATTAAAGCAATAGAATACATAGCCATTTCTACAAAGATAGTTCTTACATTTTAAGGATATTAGGTTCTCACATTATCTTTGAAATTATTCTATAATTGTGTGATCTCAAGATTCGATTTCGGCGCAAAAGTATCAACGTCTTGTATAATACTATTGTTCGTGTCTAATATGAAAACGTAAAATAGAATCAGAAAGACCTTTCAGAAGGTCGGCCGGGCCACTCGGACTTTAAAGCAGTCTACTAGATCGTCATTTCAATTTGACGGCTAGACACCAGTGAGTGTTTGTTGTCTAGGTAGATTTATATAAAGAGAATTAAAGTAGAATACGTTATCCTCCTGGATAATATGGTTTGATGCAGGTGCTTATTCTGATTAAATCTTTACTTTGTGCTTAACAATGATTTTTTAACGAAAAGAAAACAAGAATTCATGTCTAAGATGGCCACATAAGAGCATTTCTCTTGATCTTTGAAGTTCACCTTTATGGACAAGATTATATCAGTTCTCTCACAAACCAGATTTTGGAGCAAATCCTTCTATGTTTTCAACGTTTTTCAGCTAAGCAAGGAAGGCAGCTCAAACAGAAACGTCTTTTTTAACGCAACGCTTGTAATGAAAAAAAAACTTATGCGCTTAGTTACGAAAACGTCTGCTTTACTGATCGGTTTCCATTTGATTGATAGAGCATCAAAAATGCAAAGTGAAGTGTCCTCAGACCAGTTTTCTGTGTGTTAAGTGAGGTTTCACAGAACATAATATAACATACTGTAACATACTGTAACATATCCGTCTAGAAGCGTGCGACATTAAAACAGCTTAATTGTTTGTTAATTTAGCAGTTTAACTCAGTTTCTCCATTCATTTTTCTAAACAACGTGAACCCCAAAAAACGAACCTAACTTCCCCTACGCCAAGATGAACTTGATATTTTTGGTGGGAGTTACGCGATAAAGATGACTATAGAAATTAGCTGCTTCAAACCAAAACTAAATTCAAAAAAAGAAATGCCCAAGCGCTGCAGTGAAAAGTGAGGTTTGGTGCAATTTTTAGCTCGTCACACTCGGTTTGTTTCATTTTTTCTCTGAATTAGATGGACTCTGGTATTACAATTCGAATAGTTGGTTTTCCCTGGTCAGCATGTAACATAAGCTCTCAACACGTAGAGTCCGGGTTTGTGTGGGTTTGTGACTGAACTATTTGTACAGGTTCATGTACACTATACGCAGAGTTACTAATTCTTCTGCCATATTTTTGCCACATTGGTATTTTACTTTATCGCTGAGTATTAGTGTTTGCTTTATCGCTTTATTCGAGCAGTGGACCATATTACTGCTCAGCTATCAAAAGATGTGCTAAGCTGTTCGTGTTACCAGTGAGCTCAACTTCCAGCTGCCCATCCAGGTAAATAAATAAAAACACGCATGGTTGACCCAGGGATTTCGTATTTTGCTAAGCTGTCAAGAGTGCATGTTCATTCATTTTAAGTTGTATCACTTATTGTAACATTGGAAAAATACGTAACGACGTCTATTGAAAGCATGAGAGCCAAAGCGTTTATTTCCTCAGCTTTAGAATGAATCGAAAGGAAAACCTAACATCCGGGCAATAATACTTACAGGTTTCCAGGGTTTAATATTTGACCACAGCATAAAGTTCATTGACGAACCACGATTAGGCCAGGATTAGCTATGCAATGGCTATCATCAATAGTGCAATAATGCGTTTGAAGTGAATAAGTAATAGACCACAAGTTGTCCGAAATAGGGCCGAATATACTTACCCAAACCTATTATGTTCAAAAACAGAGCGAGAGCCATTAGTCAGCCTATTACTTTAGACTATTATTCGTACACATGGCAATCGGAAAGCCATATATACGCTCCGGCGTCACCATATCAATTCACGTTTGCCGCTCTTTACAAACTAAAATTGTAATTCAACCTTACTTACCTAACCTGAAAGTGGTGTATAAAAACAGCATCCTGATTGCAAACGAGTCACTGGTACATATGAGTCATATTGAATGAAGCAAAACTGTCCTTTTATGCAATATTCCATGCTAAAATGTTTGTATCAAATTAGTTTCAACTTGTTGCCATGCGTCCGTGTGACAATCAACCGTCTACTACAATAAATAAAAGAGTATTTTGTTTGCCTTTGGGTGAGTCGCACCCACCGGTACATCGTAGTCTTTCGTCTTATGCAAACAAACCAATAGAATGCCAAGTCGACTGATAATCAACAAGTACCATTCCGGACTGGGGTGAGGAATACATCACCTAGGTATTAATTTAATTAAATAACATTTGGAAGTTTAGGGCGGTCAAATGTCCGGATTCACTTAAATCAACAATTTCAACGCAGAATAGTGTGGGCCTCTGCCCACATGCTTGAGTTTCTATGTAGAATCTTGTTTTTTGTGCCTTCGTTTTTTAAAGTAGGTTATTCATTATGACATGCATGAAGCCACGAATCAGCCATGATAAACCACAACATTGAAAAGTGTGTTGTTCTTTATGCACAGTCTACGCTACTCCGGAGCAGCCATGATAAACCACAACATTGAAAAGTATATTGTTTTTTATCCGCAGCCTACGCTACTCCGGAGCGATTCGGCGGTGCCAATTGAAATGTACCAACCTAGAACACATAAATACAGAACTGAATTCCTCAGTAGACCAAAACACTCTTCGATCACACAGAAAATTTTCAAATATCTTCTGCCGCAATTCATTTGACACTGGAAAGGAAGGCGACCGATGGTCTTGAAATTAGCCAAACGTACTCCGCAACTAGCCTTTCAAGCATAAGCGAAAGGATAAGCGGCGACCGATGGTCTTGAAATTAGCCAAACTTATTCCGCAACTAGCCTTTCAAGCACAAGCGAAAGCGTCGCATGCTAAATGTATTCCTGTCATACTATGCTACAAAGCTTGGATGTGGACCGGGCTTCCAGCAAACGAAGCAAGCTGGTGATCAGTCCAGAAAGATGACCGACTGTAGTATACAGCAAAACAGTGAAATGTTAGGATATTTGTGGATTTTACGAAAGGGGTTTTATAACTGTTTTGTTTATAGACTGCTATACACTGCGCGGTTGGTCCTATGGAAGACTTTTAATAAATGAGTTACCGGCATCATGTCCTCGTTGCCTCAAAGCCTGTCCATAATGGAGAGGGCCAGACGGTTTGCGCATGGCAGAATGTAGGTCCACACGCAAATTCGTGGTGCCAACATATACCTTACGCACGATAGCTGACCGGCTAACGTGCAAAAGACCACCGGGAACTATCTACGAATACCTGTCTAAACATTATGGTATACTATCAGGCACGGGTGAAATTTTCCCACTTATCATCAAGTTAGTGAGGTCATACGTTTTACTGTCCTTGTATAATACCATGATATAACTACTTATTTGATGATTAATTCTACGTTGAACGAAAAATTACCCCATCTGTTGTGTGCTCTCAGGAAAGGGTGAACATTTTGTTGTATATTCAAAATTAGCCTTGGCAAAATCTGCGCACTTATATATCCGAACTAATTGCAACCTTTAAAGCACACGATTATACAATGATTTTTTATGGGGTTTATGTTGCATAGCACTGCTTCCTCTCTGGCATACACCACAACTTGTTCCTTTGGAGATGGTAATGGTAGACAGTAGACAGATTTGTTGAACTATTCACCTTAATCTACGCAATATTGCGAGAAATAGAACGCATCACGCAAAGTTCAACCACATTTTAGTGGTAATGTTTTACGACGCACCTAATTCCTGTTTTTTTTGCACCAAGTTTCCAAGCCAAACCTTTCCATTTAGATCTTGTGCGTCCATATGGAACAGCCATCCAAAGTTGTTCAAAACACATTTTCCCATTAATGGTATCGTTGACCATGAAAGAAATCACTGTATGTTCCTTGTTTACTGGCTTATCTGATGTGAATAAAATCCGGTTTAGTGTATTCATTCACAAGCCAACTAGATTATCTATAATTATGCACCTACTGATGTGAGACAGAGTTGTATGTGAGAAACTTTAACTTTCGAGGACGCCATTGAACTGATATCTATTCAGTCAGTTTGCAGGCATCAGCCATCTCCCGGACTAAATATGTCAACATCAATGTGGCGTAGATCGAGATTATTTACAATCGGTGGGCCACACGGAACTATAAATTTTATATAATGTTGACAACTGGTGGCTTCTTCTGTTTGCCGAATTGTTGGTAAGAATGATAAATTAACCTTCTTATATGTAGTTCATTTTTCATCATTGATTAAGCGTGATCCGTTCATTCCAACGCTTCCCATATTATAATAAACCCATTCACGATGGCCATTTGTGAATTCTAATAAGAGTAACCTTCCTTCAGGAAAACTCTGGAATCCTTAATTTTATAGTACCTGTTTGCTTGAGTCCCCCACAAAATATTCAAGTGTGCTCAAATCTTCAGTTTAGTAAAGTGGGGAATTCGCCTTCTTACCGGCTCCTACGGGCGTTTTAAAGAACAAGCTAATAAGTAGTATTAAAATTGTTGCGTTAAAGGTAGCTCCAGTTGAAGGTGATAACATCAATGTAATTTGCGGTGAATTAGGCGCGATTTTCACAACGCTTGAACTTCAGTGATCTCAACGTTTTTCACTTCTAATTCAAAGAGAAAAGTAATATTTTAACAAAAGTTTGCTAAAATGCTTATTAAAAGAACGGAACTTTGTTCCATGTTCCCTATTCCTTATTTCACACTAAATTACGTCTGGGCAGATATCGGGGGCCAGCAACGACGCTCAAATCTGCAGTGTGCTTTCAGAAACACGCGCATGATGCTCTAAAATCAGCTCCAATTCAAGTCTCTGAGGAGTTGCAACTTTTTTCAGAACTCAGAAATTCCACTATTGTAAGCAATAGAACATAAAAGAACATATGGAATGTCTGGATGAAGTTTGTGAATAACAGCACGCTTGCGGATAATCAAGTTCTGTTATTTATATGTTCTAAGTCAGGATATTTGTCTGACAGCGCTGAGTGTCTCTGGATCGTGGTTTATCATGGCTGATTCATGGCTTTGTGCAATTCCTAGTAAATGACCAGATTATTATAAATGATGGTAGAAAATAGAGGCTTAGCGTAAAATCTATAACATGTGGGCTGGGATCCACACTGTTTTGCGTTTAAATTGCGGATTTAAGTGAATCCGGTCACCTGACCGCCCTAAACTCTCAAATGCTATTTGGTTTACAAAAACCTGGGTGATGTATTGCTCAACCCAGTCCATCGATTGCGTTTCATTCATTACATAAACTGTGAAATCGGAATAATGAGATTTGATCATCACTTGACGTTGCATTCTATCGACCTGTCGCATGAGACGAAAGCCAACGATGAGTGCGAATTACATAGCTGAAAACTAAGCGCTCTCTTTCATTTATTCTAGTAAACGGCTGATTGTCAAACTAGTTGAAACTAGTTTGGTACGAACAGCTCAGCGTGACTCACTGCATAAAGGAATAGTTTTTATTAATTTAACGTGACTCATATGTACCACTGTAGACCTAGTCTGACTCGTTTGCAATCAAGAGGATGTTTTTTGTACACCAGTCAAATACGTAAGGTTGAAGTACAAATTTAGTTTTTAGAGCGCAGTAAACGTGAATTAATATACTGACACCGGAGCACATGTATAACTTTATGAGACGATTGTCACGTGTTTTTAACGTTATGGTCCTCTCATTTGTTAGCGCTGATAGCCACAGAACATTATTCTCTAAGTGGCCAAATCAGGGTTACTTTACCGTGTTGATTATCTTACGCGGCGATTCTCGTCAAGCAGTTCTTCCACAAGCAAAGTAACGGAAACCTGTTTCTAAAACCTCTAACTTCAAACAGCATTGTTTAATTTTTAACGTTTTTTCGCCATTTTATCAATAGTCAACAATCCTAATATTGTGTTACTTTAACTGTTTCTTTTGCCTGCCCTACACATTCAACCCCAAAGTTCACCTCATATTTGATAACTGAGGTGTCAAGAAATAAGTTTTGATGGAGAATGCTTTGCATACATTTAAGAAGGCTAGAGCACAGACGTTTAAATATGTATATAATATTGGGTTTGGATATGCTCTCAGTGGAAACATTTAAGTTCGCAGGGATAGTATTGATTTTATAACAAGCCAGTTGACCGATAAATTCGTAAAATGAACAGTGACGAAAACTACTGTTTTCGGGATCTTGTTATCAGATCAGTACATATCTAATGGTTAAAATAGAAGCGAAAATTGAAATACGCTGTAAAGATTGGGAAGTGCGAAAAGTAGAGGCACGAACGATTGGTTGTCTCCGCACCCCCTATGTCGCATATGGCTGGATACTGTGGGACAGTCAAGAGGACTGTTGATTTGTGTCACACGACCGAGGCAGACTCAGCGTTCGCAGGCGTATAGCGACTGCCCCGGCTGTAGTCAAGCAACGCCGTTGAATAGATACTGGCAGTCTATTTGGTACACGGTAAATGACGAAGCGGTTTATTTGGAATAACTTAGTGCCCGGCATAAATTAATTGGGATGTTATTGAGCTCCTGGCTGAACTGTTGAGGTTTATGGTATCCCGGTAAGAGAGGTATTTGCGTGTTCCCTTAGAAAATTGTCGTGCCGTGTGCCTAACATACTCCGCTGAACAACAGCATGAGACAGAATCCACAACCATGTTCTGGGTGGACTTGCATTTTGTCTTTGAAGTTTAAGTTGAGCAAAGCGTTTGTTGAAATCAAGACCGCAGATTTCCAGCCGAAAACATGCGTTGTAGGGATAGAAACAAGCGGCCATTGACTATGTACGTCAACAGAACGTCCTTATACGGTAAATTCCAGTGCACTTGTTTCATTCCAACGAAAGTGATAGGTGACTGGATAGGATCGATCGGACATAGTCACGGTTATAAATCTTTCCCGGTAACCATTGACTGAGGCAAGTTAGAAAA